TAAACAGTGACGTATGCTGCATGGTCATGGTCAACACAAGGTTTAAGTATGTAGATATGTACGCAGTTTAATTAAAAGCTCATGCTTCAGTCCTTCAACTTTTAGATTTCACTAACCTACAAGATTTTCCCTCAAGGAACCAAACCAACTTTTTCTGAAAGATATGGTTAAATATACCTAACAAAAATCTTTTCATACCCGGTACTCGAAGAGTAAATAGGGTGTATTGTATTTGTGCAGAAAGTATGTAACACACAGAGGAAACGTTTCCGATCCCATAAAGTATATATATAGTCTTGACCAGACGGACGGACAGACAGACATGGCTCAATCGACTCGGCTATTGATGCTGATCAAGAATATATGTATGTGTACTTTGTGGGGTCGCTCTTTGTGGTGGTCGAAGGTCGAAATACATTTGTAACAGTGTGATATCCCAGCCATCTCGATGAAAATTTTGGTGGTTATAGCGTTTATAGTCTTTTGTTTGTCGTATGCTGTATGGCAATCCGTAAGTAGTTTACCGCAATGTAAACCAGATCCATCCTTTATATTGTAGCATATCTACCCTACCATTATCATAATCAAAGGGTATAACAATCCGTTAACAATTGTGACACTTTGCATGCATGCCTTCTGCATACATACATATGTATATATGTATATACATATAATTATAAGGGATAAGCATGGCATTCTGAGCTTGCACTTAGCAGCTCAAGTTGAATCATACATAACATATGCATGCCTTTTTCATACATATGTGTATACATACATATAAGTATAAGAGATACGCTTTCGGATTAGGTGCATATTTCGGATTAGCTGTACATATAATTCTAAGAGATAAGCTTTGCATATTTCGGGTTAGCTGAACCCAACATGAACATTACGATTGACTCTCAATAAAGTATTACAAAGGAGCAGACGCTTGATCGTATTACAATATAATTCAATGCGTCTGCCTGCTGCGTAGCCATAGGCAACGCATACGTCACTTTTGTGCAGCGGGATTCTCCTCCTCTACAAAAAATAGATACTGTTATACGAAAAGAAGCATCCTTTGGCCTCAGAAAGTTATTGTTCTTCATTTCCGACATTATGAGTCTAGTTTTTGGGTGCAAGGGCGACCTTGGACTTGCTGTTTAAGATCACCACCGATTGACTAATGCCTAGTTTTTCAGAAGTATTTGATGTCGTATAGCCATTTTCAGTGAGCTACACAATAATATTCAAAATTTCTAAATACTGCCCTCCCCCTGCCGATGCCTCTTCCGACTTTTAACCCACCCCGTCCCGCAGCTTTTATTTGTTTGTTTTTTTTGTGTGCGGACGGTGATCTGCCTCTGCCTCGAGTCTGCAGTGTGTTGGGCTAGGAAAGGGCGGCGTTGTAGATGTAGATGACAGATGAAGAAAAAATTTAATATTTGACAAAATACCGCTAAGGTACGGATGTAGTACAGAGTGCCGGGTATAAAAGTTGTGACGCGTAAGAAGCGGCTCACACGTCCCTTCTCGTTTTTTATAAATAGGTGCAAGAATTGGGCGTCGTTTAAGGTATGTCTCGTCAAAGTCTATGGAGAGACGGCTGAGCTAAAATACAAGTTCCTCTCAAGTCTCGAGAGTAAACTTAGTGACCCGTCCGATCTGCTGTTCGGCTGCATGCTCGTGCCTAAATCCAAACTGGTGGTTGGGAATTGCCTCTAAAAATCCGTCCGCTTCCATCATCCTGGTCAGCAGAAGACCATCCAGACAGCAAACTGATAGGTCTGTATGAGGCCCATTTGTCCGCTGGCTTGCCGGGTTTGGGGATCATTGAAACAACTGCGCTTTTCCAGAGGCTAGGGAAACATCCAAATCGTAGCGCACTATTACAAATCAGCACAAGATAGAGCAGGGCAGACTTGGGAAGCAGCTTAATTTTCCCTTTGTTTTCCATTCCTGAGGATTTCCTCAACGCAAACGCAAACGCCGCTTGGTAGCAATCATTAGGCGGACACGATTTGTTACAGGCACCTTTGCCTGCAATCTGGGTCTGAGGGGCCTCATCAGATTGCTTCTAGCAAGATCAGCAGCATGTATGATGTTGTTGTGCAGAATGTCAGCAGCATCATCATCCGCGGCAGACCTTAGCTTAGGGTGTATGTGTGAGTCCAGCCAAGACTGGAACAACGATACGTTTGAGCCTGCCGCCAGCAGGCGCCTTTTCATTGTCACCTCCGTTGGAGAATCGATTAGCTCGACCAACATGCAATCTCATTCTGATCGCGTATGTTAAGCAGCATCTCGAATGACTTTATACACAACAAAATCGATCGCTTAGGGGGAATGAAGGGTGTTGTCTAGGTAGTTTGAAGGCTAACCAGTAGCAAAAACATTGCAGCTGCTCCTCTTTATGGACCTGAGCAAGGTTCCTCTTCGCTTGCATGCCCTTAGGTTGCCCCACCATGCATTTTTAGAATTCCGATCGCCAGCAGCAATGAAGTGCGACCCGAATAGGCGAAACAATTGTGCGAATCGCTCGTCCGTCCATTTCTGCTACGGTGGACAGCATATGGACCATATTCAGACACGCATGCTAACTTGTAAACGTCAAGTGAACACCAGCGGCCTGGATGTGTTCCGTGGAAATGCAAGGCAGCGACATACATATGGGGGATTGAAGATCTAATAAGAAGTAATGCTCCTCCTCGACTAGACCCAGATGGATGATGTGTTGTATGTGTGCAGTATCCATCTACACTGAAGGTTGCTGAGTTTTTAAAATTAGACTCAGAAACCATCATGACGTCCACTTCGGGTCTGCACATGTACTCTTCCAGCTCCTCAGTCATCCCACGAAGCCCCGAGGCGTTCCAAAATACTAATTTGGAACAGACATCTCTCCGACTGCCACCGACTTGATGTGGAGAATTCCCGGTGAGTATCCTATACATTTAGGGCAAAAGTGATGGCATGAATTTTGGGGAATAAACATTCTGTCAATGTAGTCATTTGTTCAACTAATTGATCAATTTTCCTTTCTAGTTTCTGAGTAGCTTCAGCCGCCGCTGGACCAGCTCCTGGGTTAGCAGACTGATGAGAACGTCCATGTTTTCGACTCAGCTAATTGAAATGGACCGACTGATTGCCCAGTCCGGGTCGTGGACCAGCTTCGCCGGCCAGGACACAGGCAGAGGCTGAGACGAGCTCTGAGGCTGTCCGTTTCGAACAGCAGCCGCATAGCTGCCTTGGAGCACAGGAAGTGCTGGACCTCTGGTGCCTGAACTTTTATATATTTAACCTCGACAATATATTCTTAGTTTTGGGTAATCCGCTTTCCATTTTCATACAGTAATCCTTGAACTATTTTTCAATCTATACTTGAAATATAATTGGCCACATGTATAGAGTATAGAGTACTACGTATAGCTCCGATTCTCCTACGCTGCACTCATCCACAGCCAATGATTCGTTGTCCGAAGAAGTTGCTTGACCTGGGGCGACCCCCAGCATCAGTCTTAGATCTGGTCCTGTATGTAGCCTTGGAGATAATTGAAGCCGCCTTCTTCGCGGTAGGCTTAGCGATTGAGGATCCCTGGATGGCAGCAGAAGGCTACAGCATTGCTGAAAACTTTTCAGCACAATTTAGTACACGGCACAACACTTTATATTGCCCGGGAATGTATTTTTAAAACGACACACAGGGCACTATTACACCGTGTGGGGTTTTTTTTTCAAAACGAAAAGGGACGTGTGAGACGCTTCTTATGCGTCACAACTTTTATACCCGGCACTCATTACTACATCTGCACCTTAGCGGTGTTTTGTCAAATTTGAAATATTTTCTTCAACTGTCATCTACATCTACAACACTTCTCACACCAACACGCTCCTTTAGCTCGCCGCCTTTCCCTAGACCCACACACTGCAGACTCGCGGCGGAGGAAGAGGCAGCGACCGCACACAAAAAAAAAACAAATATAAGCTGAGGGACGGGGTGGGTTAAAAGTCGGAAGAGGCATTGTCAGGGAGGGGGCAGAGGCAGGGGCCGAGTGAAGCAGAAGCAGAGTGTGAATGAGAGAATGTAAAAAGAACAACAAAAGCTGCGGGACAGGGTGGGTTTAGCCACTGGAAATTAATTTCTTCATTGTGACTATAATAATGATCCAATTGGATCTCAATTTGGTGATCTGATAGACATGGCCATTCCCTACGGAATGACGTTTTTAGTTTTCTTTTATCTTCAAAATTGTAGGTTTGGGAGGTTTTAGTCTTTTTGCGGGGGCGGAAGGGGGCGGGGCTCATTTTTGAAATACACTGGTTTCAGTGTGATCATACAGCAGTCTGGAGCCAAAATTTGGTGTCTCTAGCTCTTATAGTCTCTGAGAACTAGCCGACAAACAAGACGGACAGACGGGCAGATAGACATGGCTCTATCGACTCGGCTACTGATGCTGATCAAGAATATATATACTTTATGGGGTCGGAAACGCTTCCTTCTGTGCGTTACAACCGTTATTCCTCACAAATACAATACACCCTATTTACTCTTCGAGAACCGGGTATAAAAACTCGGGAACGTGTTTTGTTTTCTTTGTCGTATGCTAAATGTCACTACTCGACAAAATCGAACTTTTTGTTTCTCAAGGAACCAAACCGAACTTTTCTGATAGATTTGGGTCATTTTAATTTTCTTATGAAGTATGGCTCTATGGCAGAACTCTTTATACCTTACTTATTTTATTATATATTATTACCGACTCCATAAAGTGTATATATTCTTGATCAGCACAATAGCTGAGCCGATACAGCCATGTCGTCTACCCGTCTTGATGAGCACCTGGATATCAGGTGGATATAAAATTCATTAACAATTCGAAATGCCCATAATCTATCAGAAAAAGTAGGTCCTCGAGGAACAAAAAAGTTAGATTTTGTCCGTACCATAAGCTGGCACCTTCCTTTCGCAAATACCTCATCTTTTAATACATCTGCTACGAGTACATTTAAACCTTTGATTTAACGTTTTTAGGAAACACGTTTATTCAATTTAAAATTTGTTGTTGCATTGCTTACAAACATAATATGATGAACATGCTTTTAAAAAAATACAATATAAAATACAATAAATAACTATTAAAAGATTTGTGGCTGGTTGAGACTGAATGACACAAAATGCTTTGAGGGAGGAGGAGGGAAACGCTTCGTAAGCGTTGCCGTCTGACATGTGAAATGTGGCAACAATCGACAGTAGGTAGAGGGGGGAAGATCTAATCGGCATCGATTAAGGCTGGCAATGCTGCAAGATCATTGGGTTCAGCGGGTGGCGAGCCATCGCCATAGCCCACGGTCTGCGGAGAACCTGTCACTTTCGGAATCGGAGCAGTCTGTTCCTGCGCGTCCTTGGTGTTCTTCACTTTGCTGGCATCTCCGGCTCCAGCTTCCTTCAGTTCAATGACTGTCTCCAACGCCTCCTTCAACAACAGCTGATCCTCTGTTGAAGTAAGCGGCTCCTTCGCGGTTTCTTCAGATTCATCTTTTGGTGTCTCGCCGTTGGAAGTAGTTTCTGCTGCAGCCGCATCAACTGTTGTTAGCTCTTCGTTTGATTTGTCGACTGCGACTGGTGCAGCAGCAGCTGCTGCCGCTGCCTTGGCCTTGGACTTTTTGTCCTTCTTTTTGTTGTTTTTCTTGGCATTGGCCAGCTTCTGCTGATCCTCGGCCGCCTTATTCTTCTCCTCAATGGCTGTCTTGGCCTCGGCGGTAGTCAGAAGCTTCATTTGGTTCTGCAAGTTGGCCAAAGTCTGCTTCAGTTCGGCACAGTTGCGGCTCATCAGCTCCATCTTGGCTTTGTCCGTGTTGACGGGCGTAATCGTAATGGCCTCCGGCTCTGGCGGCAGCTGTGGAAGCGGCGGAATCTCAATTTTGTTCTCCCTCAGGCTCTTGTGCAGAGTCGTGCGCTCCACTTGCAGGGCACGCAGCAGCTTCTGCAGCTGTGTGACTTGCTTCACCAGACGATCCGACTGCTGGTCGCGCATCTGCTTCTCGGTGGCCAATTCGATGACCATGGCATTGGCCTTCTCGTACCGCTGGCGCCAGGCCAGCGACTCCTTTTCAACCTTCTTTGTGTGCTTGGACATCTTCTCCAGTTCGATTTTGTAGCTGCCAAAGACCTCGTTTGACTTGGTCAGCGACTGCTGGAAGTCATCATATTTGGCCATGTAGATGTTCAGCTGCTCCTTCAACTGGTGCTCGCGATCGGTCAGATCTTTGATGCTGCGTTGAGCCTGAATCAGCTTTTCGAGTCCAATTTGATTCTCTCTGCAAGGAAAGAGGCAAATATTTATATGCTGGTTGAGAACTTGCCAAGGGGTGCACAAACTTTTTCAGAATCTCCCTCTCCATGGCCGCCTCGACCTGTGCCTTGCTAAGCCTGGCTTGATGCAGCTGCGACTCCAGTTTCACCTGCTCATTGAGCTTCTCCAGGTGCTGTTCGCGCGTCTGGTACTGCTCCGCCAGAAGCTTTAACCTAAAATCAGATAACAGATGGTCGATCAGTGTGTGTGACGCAGACGGCGTGCAGTGTCTATATTTAGTCTTTTAGGCAGCGCGCTCGCCGGCTGCTTGTGTTGTTGCCGCTGCTACCGAAAACTTCTGCCTGCCCCACTCACTTTTTGGTCATTTCGATGTTGTAATCGCGCAACTTGATGTTTTCCTCGTTGTTTTTGGACAGCGACTTCTGGACGTCGTTCAGCGAGCTCTGAAACTTGATCTGGCTCTCCTTGCGGCGCTCCTCCTCCACCTTGATCTGCAGCATGCTCTCGTTCTTCACCGACTTGATAATGCGCTGCTGCTCACGACACACCTCCTGTAGCTTGTCGCGCATCAGGATGCACTTGTTTAGCTCACGCTGCATGGCCTCCTTCTCACGCTGCTGCCCCTCGGTGTGGCGCTGCACCACCCGCAGTTCGGCCGTCAGCCGGCCCACGTTCTTCTCACTTTCCATCTGCCGCTGCATCAGCATCTTCACTTTGTCCTCGTTCGTCATGCATTCATCGAGGGACTTCAGCACCTACGTGGGTGTCAAGGGTGTGGTGTCAAGCTAATTTTAGGGATACTTCAACATGCATTTTCGTTGCCATTGCAAAGCCGGGCGCAGTCGCGCTTCGGTACGAATGCATGAATGAACTTACCAGCTCCTCGAGCTTCTGCTCCCGCTGCTTTTCCTCCCTCGCCACCTTTTTAGCCTTTCCTACCTTTTCCATTTTGACAAGAGTCGAGTCTATATATAACTTCTATTTCGATCCTTACAAATTTTGACTATATTTGTTGTGCTCGCATGAAGTTCAGTGGACTGTCGATAGAAACTATTTTATCCGAAATATGCCGAAATATACCATTCCTTTTTTTTAAATATACCAAGAAAAAATACGAGCTTAACCCATTCAACACCACTCTATTTAAACAGTTTTAAACTATTTAAACTTGCGTTAAGGCCCAGTACTCATATGCGCAGTTTCTTCCGATAGAAAGTGGAGAAAGCACCGCATTGTTGGTTGAGTCCGTTCTGCAGGGACAGAAATGCAATAAAAATGTGTGTTTATTAATAAGTTTTAAATCTTCTTCATTTAACTGCAAAAAGCTGTCTGGAAAATGTTCTATCGAACAAAAACCTGTGTTGGTTTCTTGTCGTTTGCATTGGAATAGCATCCCTGATTGTGTCTTAAGTTTGAACGCTTGTTGCTTTTTAACCAGTGGAATATTAGGTTATCTATTGCGCCTAACAGCATATTGAACAGAAGCTATAAAGAGTTTGCGCACAACAGCACATAAATAAGTTGGCGCTTTACCCCACCACCACCTGTTAAAACATTGGTACTCAAAATGTCCGCTAGTGAACACTGTATACTTTTCAGGATATTTAGACTACGAAATTGAGTTCATTATATATTTACGGTATATCCGTATATAATGGTAAATTTAATGACTTTCATCCGTCTATTAAATTCCAAATTAGGTATATTCAATAATTTAGGGCACCCAAATTCCCATACGCATTTTTTTCAAATGTTTTTCAACATTTGGCAGCGAATAAGCAACATTTAGTACCCTTGGAGGGATGGATATCCTCGAATTGAAGAAATTTTGTAAATCTCTCTCTCCAATCAATGCAAAAACATTCCATCTATGTTGGTTAGCAATTTCAACAAAATTATGCAGATACCGAGAATATATCTAGATCGATATACATATGTACATTCCATCTATGTTGGTTAGCAATCTCAACAAAATGATGCAGATATCAAGAAGTATATACATAGAAATATTAATATTTATTTATGGATATAATGTATACCCTATACAAATACCCATACTATACCTAACATACCTGTGACAAGCAACAAATTGTCACTCAAGTAACGTTTTTGCCATTTTTGTTGGTTGACCTTTTTAGTTTTAAACTTAGTTTGGATATATTCAAAGAAAAGGAAGTCGTAAAAAATAACCACACTTGTGTAGAATTGATTATTAAATCGGGGAAAAATATAGGTTAAGCGGGGAAACCCCTAACTGACTAGTAATATTAAACAGAACATCAAAATCGAGTAAAGTAATTTAAGATTCACGAATATACTGTAAGTAATATTTTGATAATGCAAGGGTATATTCCGGTATATTTTATCGATAATTCCGCGATCGCACTGCCTCCAATTCATGCCTGCATTTACAGTTATTCCGCGATCAGGTGCCTCTTCTTATTTTCGAAATATTATAACATTTGCAGCTTACAGTTATCCCGCGATCGCCGCTTTGCGCATATCCCATTCACCGCCTTGTACTATCCTCTCTCCGCGTTGCACACTTTCCACGCAATTGCATTTTACAGCTACTCAACGAGCATGGAAAATGAGAATATGGCATTTTTAATGGAGGCGGGAGTTCTGCCTCGACTCGTGGACATTTTGAAGCAGTTAATGAACATCGAGCCGCAGCCAGTGGATCCTTTGATGTACTTGCTCCATCAGCTGGACTGCCCCCTTATTCCGCAGGTCTGGTTTCGTTCTTTATGTGGCGCAAAAATATATAAAAAGGTAACATTTATTTGCTAATTTTCGTTGCAGGCCCAAATGAAGGCCCTGGAGCGCAAGGTAACGCGCGCCCACGACGAGTTGCGTTACTTGCGCGACCTTTTAATAGATCTGGGCGCCGACGAGGAGCTGTATGACAGCGAGACGGACGAAGAGGAGTATGTGGGCTGCGTTAAGGGTCAGATTTGTGACCCAAACGACTTGGAGGAGTATGGCTATAGGGAGGAAGAGGCGGACAATGAAAATGACGATGACGAGGACACTCCTGATGGCAGCAAGGCCGAAGCAAACTCATTCGAATCGCAACAATCGCAGCAGCCGCGGCAGTACATGGTTCGGGCCGCTGTGGCGATGCCTCCTGTCGATCAGGATGAACGGGCTGGGACCTGCGAGCAGCCCTGCTCCAGACGATCCATCTGCCACGACTCACAGTAGTTTGTTATTCAACTAAATCCTACAATTTTATGTACACGTACATACATAACTGTTTCAACGCATGTGGTGTGTGCACTCTTCGTATTTTCTGCAATCGTGTTTAAGTAATGTATTTTGTGACCCTTTTATGGAGGATTATCAATAAACTCAACACCTGGTCCGTTGCATCCATAGAGTGTAGTAGAGTGGTTGCCACCCGTTTTTGCCATGTACATAACTACTGATTGGAACATGACTTAGGGGTTATTTGTCAAATTTTACATCTTTTCTTCATCTGTCATCTGCATCAACAACACTACTCACGCCAACACGCTCCTTTATCTCGCAAAATTTTGTGGCTCCTAGCTCTTATAGTGTCTGAGAAATAGCCGACAAACAAGACGGACAGACGGACAGATGGACAGACAGACATGGCTCTATCGACTCGTCTATTGATGCTGATCAAGAATATATATACTTTATGGGGTCGGAAACGTTTCCTTCTGTGCGTTACATACAACCGAATTTCGCACAAATACAATATACCCCATTTACTCTTCGAGTACCGGAATAAAAAGTGAGAATATAAACTGAATAAATTGCTACTACCAATTCAATGCCCCCTTTATATTTCCGGGATAATTCGGCAGAAATAACCGCTAGGTTAACCCCTGCCATCTCATAGGCTTGGTAACTTCGATGCCTCTCCATGTGATACATCCATAACCATAACCAAAATTATAAACTGGAATTTAATCCGCAAAAGTTTTTCTGTATTACAAATTATATTTTAACAAGTGTACATATGTACATGTTTAGCCCAACCAAATGATTTATTTAAAATATGTCCGCACTGTGTGTAAATCCATCTAATCCTGCTGCAGCACCCTTGACACTTGCATGTCCGGGCTTGACAAATAAACTGCTGCAGCACACAGCATACATAAATATTGCCCCAAAAAATAAAAACATATTTTGCCACACACTCGTAAAATAAACAAGAGGACCCAACAAGGGGTTGTGGGGACAGCACAGCAGCTGCTTTTAATTGCTTGCGTTGGTTTGAACAATTTTTGCATCTTTTAGTTTGGCATTGAATAATCGCTTCGGAAATTGTCGTTTAACTGCAAATTGTAGTAACAGCAAAACGGCTAGATAATTGATTAAAGCTATTTTAATGTTTCTATTTTTTACCTATGTCTCCGGTACTCGAAGAGTAAATAGGGTATATTGTATTTGTGCAAATAACGGTTGTATGTAACGCACAGAAGGAAACGTTTCCGACCCCATAAAGTATATATATTCTTGATCAGCATCAATAGACGAGTCGATAGAGCCATGTCTGTCTGTCCGTCTGTCCGTCTTGTTTGTCGGCTAGTTCTCAGAGACTATAAGAGCTAGAGCCACCAAATTTTTGCATCCAGACGGCTGTATGCTCAGACTGAAACCAGTGTATTTCAAAAATGAGCCACGCCACCTTCCGCCACCGCAAAAGGGCGAAAACCTCATAAATCTACAATTTTGAAGTTAAAAGAAAACTAAAAACGCTATTCCGTAGGGAATATCTATCAGATCACCAAATTGGGATCCGACGGGATCATTATTATAGCCAGAATAAAGAAATTAATTTGCAGCGGCTTAACCCACACGGCCCGCAGCTAATATTTGTTTTTTTTTTTTCAAATTCTCTCATTCATACTCTGCTTCGCGCAGACATGTCTCTGCCTCTGCCGCGTCTCTGCCCTGACTCTGCAGTGTATGGCTCTAGGGGAGGGTGGCGAGCTAAAGGAGCGTGTTGGCGTGAGTAGTGTTGTTGATGCAGATGACAGATGAAGAAAAAATGTAAAATTTGACAAATAACCGCTAAGGTGCAGATGTAGTAGTGATTGCTGGGTATAAAAGTTGTCACGCGTAAGAAGCGTCTCACACGTACCTTCTCTTTTTTTCTGTGGTTGGAGTTTGGGCCTGCTGAAGGCCTTTCCTGGCCGCTGGCATTGGGTCCGTTTAATCTGTGCGAGCGTGCCGATTGCAAAGTGGCCAACGACTACGGCCCAGTATGTCCCCGGAATCTGCTTTGCATGTCAGTGCGGCGCAACGTAAAACTTTGACCACGTAAAATACCAGACCCTCGGGCAGTAGCCGCTGCCAGGTCCTCCAACCCAACAACACCCAAATGAACTAGTGTTGCAATGAAATGTATTGCAGCGTCCTGCAAAGGACTGGACTGCAGGGGATCAATGCTGCATTTCTACGGACTCCAACGAAACGGGAAAGAGCAATGGTGAGGGTTAAGGATGGGAGGATATTAACAGCTATACGATTTAAAAAAAAATATTATATTTATGTTTTATATTTATATCTTTGTTTTAAAATTTGTAGACTGTTATCTATTTATTTCTGGCCGTTTCTTCCAGTGTGCTCTGCTTAAAAATTGACAACAAAAGATTTGCATTTTATATGTACACATGTGTGTACCTTTAGGAACCAATGAGAATTAATTTCTTAGTCGCATTTATACAATACATTTCCAAAGATGTCTGTCGGTAATGAATTTGGTATCTAGCCCTGGAGAGCGGATATGTGGAGGATAGAAGTACAATAAAAATGTAGGTTTTCTCCGCCAAAAATAGCCGGCTGAAAGTGGGGGTAAGTGGGAAAGGGCATAGATAGTTGGACCCTGTGCTGCTGCTTCAATTTCATGTCGAGTACATTTAAATTTACTGCTCTTTTGTGACCGCATGCGAGAAAACAAAACTTTGGGCTCCTTTTTTCAAGTTACTTTACTTTTTATACCCGGTACTCGAAGAGTAAATAGGGTATATTGTATTTGTGTGAATAACGGTTGTATGTAACGCACAGAAGGAAACATTTCCGACCCCATAAAGTATATATATTATTGATCAGCATCAATAGACGAGTCGATTGAGACATGTCCGTCTGTCCGTCCGTCCGTCCTTATACGCTCCTGGATCTTAGAGACTATAAAAGCTAGAGCCACCAAATTTTGCATCCAGACTGAAATATGCTCAAACTTAAACAGGTGTATTTCAAAAATTAGCCCCGCCCCCTTCCGCCCCGCAAAAGGGCGAAAAACTCCCAAAGCTACAATTTTGAAGATACACCCACCCCTCCCCGCATCTTATATATGTTTTTTTCACATTCTCTCATTCACACTCTGCTTCTGCTGTGTGCGGCCTCTGCCTCTGCCGTGACTCAGTGACGCAGTGTGTGGGTCTAGGGAAGGGGAGCGAGCTAAAGGAGCGTGTTGGTGTGAGAAAAAAATTTTAATTTGTCAAAAAACCGCTAAGGTGCAGATTTAGTAAAGAATGCCGTTTATAAAAGTTGTGTCGCGTAAGAAGCGTCTCACACGTCCCTTCTCGTTTTTTCGTATTTTCGGCTCTCTCGGTCGTTCCGACGGTTGGTCCCTTCACTCGGCCCGAGGGCGAGTGTGGGATTTTTAAAGCCAGCAAAAGACCACACAGCAAAAAAAAGTCGGAAAAAATGACACAGGAAGAATATTTGAAAAACAAAACAGAAAGCGAAATAAAAATTCCGCCATTTTCTGGCAGGCTAATTGAAATCCTTCTGAGTGGCAGCGGCGGGAAGGGGGCGTGGTGTTGAAAATATCAAAACTATGCTTCATTAGCCTATCTGCCAAATGGGGCAACACCCCAGAAACACCCGCCAAAAAAGAAACCAAACGAGATGGGACATGTGAGACGCTTCTTACGCGTCATAACTTTTATACCTGGTACTCAGTACTACATCTGTACCTTAGCGGTTTTTTGTCTAATTTTACATTTACTTCATCTGTCATCTACATCTACCACACTTCTGACGCCAACACGCTCCTTTAGCTCGCCCCCTTCCCTAGAACACTGCGTCACTGAGTCACGACAGAGACAGAGGCATGGCAGAGGCAGAGGCCGCACACTGCAGAAGCAGAGTGCGAATGAGAGAATGTGAAAAAACAACAAAGCAGCTTTTGTTGACGGGGGTGCACGGGGTGGGTTTAGCGGCTAAACTTTAGCCGAAGCAAATTAATTTCTTCATTCTGTCTATAATAATGATCCTATTTGATTCAATTCATTGATCTGATAGATAATATAGATAGATAGATAGATAATCTGATGTCTATAATAATGATCCTATTTGATTCAATTCATTGATCTGATAGATATGGTCATTCCCTACGGAATGGCGTTTTTAGTTTTCTTTTATTTTTAAAATTGTAGATTTGGGAGGAGGAGGCGGGGCTCTATTTTGAATTACACTGGTTTCAGTGTGAGCATACAGCAGTCTGGAGCAAAAATTCGGTGGCTATAGCTCTTAGACGGACAGACGGACGGACGGACAGACAGAAATGGCTATTGATGCTGATCAAGAATATATATACTTTTTCGGGTCGGAAACGTTTCCTTCTCTGCGTTACATACATCCGTTATTTCGCAAAAATACAATACACCCTATTTACTCTTCGAGTACCGGGTATAAAACGCAGAAAACCAATGTGCGGAGGTTAAGGAATGAGCCTCGCCATTCCTAACAGAAGGAAGATTTTATTGACTGCAATTGACAACTGTCAAGCACAACAATTAAAAAGCAAATAATTATGCAAAAGTTCACGCTGTTTTCGAGACGGAAGGAATGCCAAGAAATTTGCACATTTATAGTCTGTAGAATGCTTGGATCAAATGCTGAACGCGCACTCATCAACCAGAACTACGCTTTATAATTTCATGTCATTTTTTATCAGGCAGTGCAGAAAAAAATGGGTTAAACCATTTTTATACCCGGTACTCGAAGAGTAAATAGGGTATATTATATTTGTGCGAATAACGTAACGTACAGAAGGAACCGTTTCCGACCCTATAAAGTATATAATACGATTTCCCGAGTTCAAAAGTAGGTTTTTAAAAAGATATTTTATTTAACCGAACTAATATAATAGAACATAGGATTTGAATATGAATTCCCCAACTCAATGTTAGATAGTCTCAAACGGAACTGTCTTCTTGTTCTCGATTTATTGATCTCGAGACCTCTGTTGGGAAGCTTAAAGCTTATCTTCTTAAGCTTTCGGCTTCGGCTGATATTTCGTCTTCGGAATAGAGAGAGTTTCAGTTGCGAGAGGCGCTGCTTTGGTAAGAGCTGCTGATAGGCGATGCGTTGGCCTATGTGTGGGAGGCTTGGGAGATGCG